AGAACAAATTATTTTTTTTCACGATCATACCCTTATTATCTTAATTATAATTACTATCTTAGTAGGATATTTAATAACAAATTTATTTTTTAATAAATTCATTAACCGATACCTCCTAGAAGGACAAATAATTGAATTAATCTGAACAATCCTTCCAGCAATTACTTTAATTTTTATTGCACTTCCATCATTACGTTTATTATATTTACTTGATGAATTAAATAACCCCTTAATTACTTTAAAAACTATTGGACATCAATGATATTGATCCTATGAATATTCAGACTTCAATAATATTGAATTTGATTCTTATATAATTTCAAGAAGAGATTTATCTCTCAATAATTTTCGATTATTAGACGTTGATAATCGAATTATTCTTCCTATAAATAATCAAATTCGAATTCTAGTAACAGCAACAGATGTAATTCACTCCTGAACTATCCCATCTTTAGGTGTAAAAGTAGATGCAAATCCAGGTCGATTAAATCAAACTAGATTCTTTATTAATCGACCAGGAATTTTTTATGGTCAATGTTCAGAAATTTGTGGAGCTAATCATAGTTTTATACCAATTGTTGTTGAAAGAATTTCAATTAAAAATTTTATTAATTGAATTAATAATTATTCTTCATTAAATAACTTAAAGCAAGTACTGGTCTCTTAAACCATTTTATAGTAAATTAGCGATTACTTTTAATGAAAGAATTAGTTAAACTCATAACATAAATATGTCAAATTTAAATTATTACATTAAATAGTAATATTCTTTTATTCCACAAATAATACCAATTAACTGATTATTCTCTTTTTTTTTCTTTATTACTATTTTTATTATTTTTAATATTATAAATTACTACGTTTATAACATTAACAACAATAATAAAATTAATAAAAAAAAAAATATTATTAATAATTTATCCTGAAAATGATAAGTAATCTATTTTCAATTTTTGATCCTTCAACAAATATTTTCAATTTATCTTTAAATTGATTAAGAACATTTATTGGATTATTATTTATTCCTTATTCATTCTGATTAATCCCTAATCGATATTATGTATTTTGAAATTTCATCTTTAATAAACTTCATAATGAATTTAAAACTCTTTTAGGAAATAACCCCTTATTCAATAATTTCACATTAATTTTTATTTCAATATTTTCATTTGTACTATTTAATAATTTCTTAGGATTATTCCCTTATATTTTTACAAGAACTAGTCATTTAACTTTATCTTTATCATTATCATTACCTTTATGATTAAGATTTATATTATATGGTTGAATCCACAATTCCCAACATATATTTATTCATATAATTCCCCAAGGTACCCCAACAGCTTTAATACCATTTATAGTATTAATTGAAACAATTAGAAATATTATTCGACCTGGAACCTTAGCAGTACGATTAACTGCAAATATAATTGCTGGACATCTTTTAATAACTCTTTTAAGAAGAACTAGATCTAATATCCCTTCATCCTTAATTTTTATTTTAATTAGTATTCAAATTTTATTATTAACTTTAGAGTCAGCAGTAGCTGTTATCCAATCTTATGTTATTGCAATTTTAAGAACATTATATTCTAGAGAAGTAAACTAATGAAAAACATACATAACCACCCTTTTCACTTAGTTGATTATAGTCCATGACCTTTAACAAGAGCAATCGGTGTAATAACTCTTGTTTCAGGAATAATTAAATGATTCCATAATTTTAATTCAAACTTATTAATTTTAGGGTATATTATTACACTTTTATCTATATATCAATGATGACGAGATATTTCTCGAGAAGGTACTTTTCAAGGTAAACATACTATCTTAGTCTCTAAAGGTTTACGTTGAGGAATAATTTTATTTATTGTTTCAGAAATCTTTTTTTTTGTATCTTTTTTTTGAGCTTTTTTTCATAGAAGACTATCCCCTAATATTGAAATTGGGGCTATTTGACCACCAATAGGAATTATTCCTTTTAATCCATTTCAAATCCCTTTACTTAATACAATCATTTTAATCTCCTCAGGAGTAACAGTAACATGAGCTCATCATGCATTAATAGAAAATAACTTTTCACAAACTTTTCAAGGACTTCTAATTACAATTATTTTAGGAATTTATTTTACAATTCTCCAAGCATATGAATATCTAGAAGCACCTTTCTCTATTGCAGATAGAATTTATGGTTCAACATTTTTCATAGCAACTGGATTTCATGGACTTCATGTTATCATCGGAACAATTTTCCTTTTTATCTGCTTAATCCGTCACTCATATAATCATTTCTCAAATAAACATCATTTTGGATTTGAAGCTGCAGCCTGATATTGACATTTTGTTGATGTTGTTTGACTTTTCTTATATATCTCTATCTATTGATGAGGAAATTAACTTATTTATATAATATATTTAGTATATTTGACTTCCAATCAAAAAGTTTAATAATTTTAATATAAATAATTATTTTAATTTTTTTAATCTCAATCATTATTATTATTATCTCTAATATTATAATAATATTATCTATTATTTTATCAAAAAAATCATTAACAGATCGAGAAAAATGTTCACCTTTTGAATGTGGATTTGATCCTAAATCTTCAGCCCGTATTCCTTTTTCTCTCCATTTCTATTTAATTACCGTAATTTTTTTAATTTTCGATGTTGAAATTGCACTAATTTTCCCTATTATTCCCCTATTTAATTTAGTAAATTTTATTATTTGATCAAAAATTAGATTTTTTTTTATTATTATTTTATTAATCGGATTATATTATGAATGAAATCAAAATATATTAAACTGAACAAATTAACTTAGGATTATAGTTTATAAAAACATTTGACCTGCACTCAAAAAATATTGAAATTTCAATTTATCTTAAAATAAGAAGCAATTTTGCATTTAATTTCGACTTAAAAGATAGAGAATTTTCTCCTTATTTATTAATTGAAACCAAAATAGAGGTATATTACTGTTAATAATATTATTGAATTTAAAATTCCAATTAAATAAACTAAAGAAATATAAAGAATAAAATTAAGCTGCTAACTTAATTTTTAGTGGTTAAATTCCATTAATATTTCTATTTATATAGTTTAACTAAAACATTACATTTTCATTGTAAAAATAAAATTTTAATATTTTTATAAATATATTTAAAGATTTAATTAATCTCCTTAATATCTTCAATATTATGCTCTAATATATAAGCTATTTAAATTTAAATTATTACTATAAATAAAAAAATTCTCATTCATATAACAAATCTAAATAAATAAATTTTAAAATTATTTATCTGATATAAATTATAAAAAATAGAATAGTTTTTTAAAATATTAAATATACCTTGACCACTATATAATTCTCTTCAACCTATATCAACATTTTTTAATAACTTTTGACCGAATTTTAAAAAATAATAATTTAAACCATAAGTTGATAAATTCGGTATAAATCACATTAAACATAAAAATATTCTAATATTATAAGTTAATAAAAATTTATTAATAGAATAAATTATAATTCTTACTAAATAACCCTAATACTCCCCCTAATAATCTTACATACACAACTATTAATTTTATATTTAATCTTAAATAAATTATATAAGGAGTTAAAAAAATTAATCAACTTAATATAGATCCACTAATAACACTTATAAATAATAAAACTATTATTCTCTTTAATATAATTAAATCTTCATCATATAAATTATAAATACTTAATAAATTATAATCATTTACTATTAAATATATAATTAAACGAATTGTATAAAATATAGTCAATCCTGTAGATAAATAATAAATATAATAAATTAACAAATTTAAATTTCTCAGTCTAACTATCTCTAAAATTAAATCCTTTGAATAAAATCCAGCTAAAAAAGGAATACCACATAAAGCAAGATTAGAAATATTCATACATAAACAAGTTATTGGAATATAACTTCCAATCCCACCTATTAACCGAATATCTTGGGTATCATTTATTATATGAATTACTACCCCAGCACATATAAATAATAAAGCCTTAAATATTGCATGAGTTAATAAATGAAAAAAAGCCAAATCAGGTATTCCTATTCTTAAAATTCTTATTATTAAACCTAATTGTCTTAAAGTAGACAAAGCAATAATTTTTTTTAAATCAAACTCATAATTTGCTGAAATTCCTGCTATAAATATAGTTAAACCTGATAATAATAATAAAATTTTTAAAAATAATATATCCACTAATAATAAATTAAAGCGAATTAAAAGATAAACTCCAGCAGTCACTAAAGTTGAAGAATGAACTAAAGCTGAAACAGGAGTAGGAGCTGCTATAGCTGCTGGTAATCAAGAACTAAAAGGAATTTGAGCTCTTTTAGTTATAGCAGCAATAATAATTAAACTTCTAATTATAAACATTTCAAAATCATTTTTTATAAATATTAAATAAAAAATATAATTTCAGCTACCATAATTTAATATTCAAGAAATAACTATTAAAATAAATACATCTCCTACTCGATTAGATAGAGCAGTTAATATCCCAGCATTATAAGATTTAACATTTTGATAATAAATTACTAAACAATATGAAACTAAACCTAATCCATCTCAACCTAATAAAATTCTTAAAATATTAGGGCTAATAATTAATAAAATTATAGAAAATACAAATAATAAAACTAAAATAATAAAACGACTTAAATTTATTTCAGAACTTATATAACTTTTTCTATAATAAATAACAACAGAAGAAATTAATAATACAAATATTATAAATAATAATGATATTCAATCAAATAAAATTGATATAACAACATTTACTGAATTTAAACTAATAATTTCTCATTCTAAAAAAATAACCATATTATTTATAATAAAATAAATTATTATAATAAAACTTAATATTCTTAAAAAAAATAAAAAAAAAAAAAATCTAATAAAACAAATTGAAATATTTTTATTAATAACTTAAAATAAGATTACTTATATTTTTGACACCACAAATCAATATTTTAATTTTAAATTATTTAAGTAAAATCAAATTATTAATCAATCTACCTTTAAAATTATTAAATTTAAAGGTAATCAATGTAAAATTAATAATAAATATTCCCGTGAAACTCCACCATAAAAACTATATATTCCTCTATAATAACTCCCATGCTGAGTGTAAGAAAATAAATATAATCTATAACCAGCTCTAAAAAAAGAAACTAATATTAATATAATTATTGATAATCAAGATCAACTTAATAAACTATTAATTAAACTAATTTCCCCTATTAAATTTAAAGTAGGTGGAGCCGCCATATTAGAAGATATTAATAAAAATCATCATAATCTTATAGAAGGTATAAAGTTCATTATCCCCTTATTAATGTATAATCTACGACTATTTAAACGTTCAAAATTAATATTAGCTAAACAAAATATACCAGAAGAACATAAACCGTGACCAATTATTAAAATATAAGAACCAATAAATCCCCAATAATTTATCGTTATAATTCCCCCAATAACAATTCTTATGTGCGCAACAGAAGAATAGGCAATTAAAGACTTCATATCCACTTGACAAAAACATTTTAAACTAACATAAAATCCCCCAACTAATCTAATAATAATTCAAATAAAATTCAATTTTAAACTAATTTTTTCTATTATAATTAAAACCCGAAATAACCCATATCCTCCTAACTTTAATATAATACCAGCCAAAATCATAGACCCAGAAACTGGAGCTTCAACATGAGCTTTAGGTAATCATAAATGAACAAAATATATAGGTATTTTTACTAAAAAAGCTATAATCATAGAAAAATATAATAAATAAAAATTAAAATTTCTAAATTTTATTATATAAAATATAATATTATTACTATAATTAAAAATATAAAAAATTCCTATCAATAAAGGTAAAGAAGCAAATAAAGTATAAAATAATAAATATAAACCTGCCTGAATTCGTTCAGGTTGATAGCCTCAACCAACAATTAATATTAATGTAGGAATTAAACTCCCTTCAAAAAATATATAAAATATAAATAAATTTATTATTGAAAAAGATATATATAATATTAATAACAAAAATAACAAATTAAATAAAAAAAAATTTACATAAAATCCTACTCGTAATAAATTTTCTCTAGCCATCAATATTAAAACACAAATTCAAATTCTTAATAAAATTAAACCAAAAGATATAATATCTAAAGAAAATATATATCTAATATTTGTATTATAAAAAACTCTTAATCTTAAATTTATAAATAAAAATATCATTAATAATATTAGAGACTGAACCAATCAAAATATTCTTAATTTAAAACATAAAGGAATTATAAAAATAATTATTAAAATAAATTTAATCATATTATAATAAATTAAATCTTTGAAAATAATCATTACCATGAGTTCGAATTATAGACACTAAAATAGATAACCCTAAAGCCCCTTCACAAACAGAAAAAACTAAAAAAACTATTAATATATATATATTAATATCAATTATTATTAAATAAAATAACAAAAATAAAAAAATACTTAAAACAATAAATTCTAAACTCAATAGAATAATTAATAAATGCTTACGTTTAGAAACAAAAATTATATTTCCAACTAAAAATATTATAATTACAATAATTAAAATATTAAATATTATCATTTGTTTTTATAGTTTAAACAAAACATTGGTCTTGTAAATCAAAAATAAGATTTTTTCTTTAAATACTTCAAAGAAAAAGAATTTCTTTATCTATAATCTCCAAAATTATTATTTTTTATAAACTATTCTTTGATATCTTAAAAATTTTTTTTTCATTAACAATTTCATCTATCTCAATATTAATATTTTTTGTTAATCACCCACTTTCAATAGGAATTTTAATTTTAACTCAAACTTTATTAATTTGCTTATTATCTGGAATAATAATTAAAACCTATTGATTCTCATACATTTTATTTTTAACTTTTATAGGAGGATTATTAGTCTTATTTATTTATGTATCAAGAATTGCATCTAATGAAATATTTAAATCCTCATTTATACATAAATTTATTTTAATAATTATATTAACTTTAAATTTAATTCTATCTTACTATCTATTTTTTAACCTAAATTGATTAAATATATCAATTAATTTAGAAGAAATAAATAATATATTCAATTTAATTAATATCTTTCATAATAATGATAATAAAATTAATCTATCTAAATTATATAATAACCAAACATTTTTAATAATAATAATAATAGTAATTTACTTATTTATTACATTAATTGCAGTTGTTAAAATCACAAATATTTTTTTTGGGCCCCTCCGAACCTCTAACTAATGATAAATAAATTTTTACCAATTCGAAAAACTCACCCTATTTTAAAAATTATTAATAGTACTTTAATTGATTTACCAACCCCATCTAATATCTCTATCTGATGAAATTTTGGATCTCTTTTAGGAATTTGTTTAATAGTACAAATTATTACAGGATTATTTTTAACTATATATTATACAGCAAATATTGAATTAGCATTTTATAGAGTAAACTATATTTGTCGAAATGTAAATTATGGATGATTAATTCGAACTATTCATGCAAATGGAGCATCTTTCTTTTTTATTTGTATTTATATCCATATTGGACGAGGAATATATTATGAATCATTTAATTTAAAATATACTTGAATTATCGGAGTTTTAATTTTATTTCTTTTAATAGCAACAGCTTTCATAGGTTATGTATTACCTTGAGGACAAATATCTTTCTGAGGAGCAACAGTAATTACAAATCTTTTATCAGCTATCCCCTATTTAGGAAATATATTAGTTACTTGAATTTGAGGAGGATTTGCTGTAGACAACGCCACATTAACCCGATTTTATACTTTTCATTTTTTATTACCATTTATTGTTTTAATAATAGTAATAATTCACTTATTATTTTTACATATAACAGGATCTAATAACCCTTTAGGAATAAATAGAAATTTAGATAAAATTCCATTCCACCCCTTCTTCTCTTTTAAAGATTTAATCGGATTCATTATCATACTATTCCTATTAATTACATTAACATTAACTAACCCTTACCTTCTTGGTGACCCTGATAATTTTATTCCTGCTAACCCTTTAGTTACCCCTGTCCACATTCAACCAGAATGATATTTCTTATTTGCATATGCCATTCTCCGATCAATCCCAAATAAACTAGGAGGAGTAATTGCACTAGTATTATCAATTTTAATTTTAATTATTCTCCCTTTTACATTCAATAAAAAAATTCAAGGAATCCAATTTTACCCAATTAATCAAATTATATTTTGATCACTAGTTACTATTATTATTTTATTAACTTGAATTGGAGCCCGTCCTGTAGAAGATCCATATATTATCACAGGACAAATTTTAACTATTTTATACTTTAGCTACTACTTAACAACCCCTCTTATTAATAAATTTTGAGATAATTTAATTTTTAACTAAATTAATGAGCTTGTTAAAGCATTTGTTTTGAAAACTTAAGAAAGAATAAATTATTCTATTAATTTATACTAATTAAAATTTTATATAAAAATTTTTAAGCCAATATATAATAATAAAAAATTTAAAGAAATAGGTAAATAAATTTTTCAAGCTAAATATATTAATTTATCATAACGATAACGAGGTAAAGTTCCTCGCACTCAAATAAATAAAAAAGATATTAAACTTAACTTTAAATAAAAAATTAATCTTAATCTATACCCTCCTAAATAAAATAAAACAATTAACATTCTTATAAATAAAATTCTTGAGTATTCAGCTAAAAAAATTAAAGCAAATCCACCTCTTCTATACTCAATATTAAACCCTGAAACTAATTCTCTCTCCCCCTCAGCAAAATCAAAAGGAGTCCGATTTGTCTCTGCTAATCTAGAAGAAATTCAACATAAACTCAAAGGATATATTATAACAATAAATCAAATTAAATTTTGATAAATACTAAATATAATTATATTAAAATCTATAACTATAATAATTCTAGATAATAAAATTAAAGCTAATCTAACTTCATATGAAATAGTTTGAGCAACTGCCCGTAAACCCCCTAATAAAGCATAATTAGAATTTGAAGATCACCCAGCAATTATAACTGTATATACCCCCAAACTAGTACAACATAAAAAAAATAAAATACCTAAATTAAATCTAATTAAATTAAAATAATAAGGAATTACTAATCAAATTATCAAAGATAATATAAAACTAATAACAGGAGAAAAATAATAAGATAAATAATTAGAATAATTAGGATAAGTTTGCTCCTTAGTAAATAATTTAATAGCATCAGAAAAAGGCTGCAAAATTCCTATATAACCTACCTTATTAGGTCCTTTACGAATTTGAATATAACCTAATAATTTACGCTCTAATAAAGTTAAAAAAGCAACACCTACTAATACACCAATAATTAAAAAAATAACACCCAAAAAAATCATAATAAAATCCTTAAATATCATTTACTACCTATATAATAAATTATATATAAATGAATTCTAAATTCATCACATTTCTCTGCCAAAATAGCTATATTTACAATATAAACTATTAATAAATTTATTTTTAATTTAATAAAATTCATACAATTAAATTTAATTTATATACTTATTCCTTTCGTACTAAAATATATTATTTAACTAAAGATAGAAACCAACCTGGCTCACGCCGGTTTGAACTCAGATCATGTAAGATTTTAATGATCGAACAGATCAAAAAATTTAAACTTTTGCATTTAATTTTTATCTTAATCCAACATCGAGGTCGCAAACTTTATTTCTTATTTGAACTAAAAAATAAAATTACGCTGTTATCCCTAAGGTAATTTTTTCTTATAATCTAAATTTTAGGATCAATTATTCACTTATTAATGAACTTTATTAAAAAAAGTTAATTTTATTTTTCTATCACCCCAACAAAATACATTAAAAATTTTAATATTAAAATATTAATACATAACCTAAAATTTTTAATATATAAAACTCTATAGGGTCTTCTCGTCTTTTAATATTATTTCAGCTTTTTAACTAAAAAATTAAATTCTATTCCTAAATAAAAGACAGTTTATATCTCATCCAATCTTTCATACAAGTCACCAATTAAGAGACTAATGATTATGCTACCTTTGTACAGTCAAAATACTGCAGCCCTTTAATTTATCATCAGTGGGCAGATTAGACTTTAAATTATTAATACAAAAAGACATGTTTTTGATAAACAAGTGAATATAAAATTTTGCCGAATTCCTTTTAATTATTTTTTTATCTTTATATAATTTTTTAATTAATCAATATACTAATTTTATCATTATTACCTTATATAAATTATTAATATAAACATTTTTATAAAAAATTAAATTTCAATTAAATTTTAATTTTTAATGAAATTATTTATAAAAAAATATAATTTATAAACAATATAAATTTTAAAAATTTCATAATTACCTATTTTATTATAAAAATTTAAATTAAAGCTTATCCCTTAAAATATTTTATTTAAAAAATAATAAATTAATAAATTAATTTATTAATTTATAATAAATATAAAATTAAATTTTTTTCTAAAAAAACCAGATATCTTTAAAAACGAATAACATTTCATTTCAAATTAATTATTAAAAATATTTTTGCTACAATAACTTTCCTAATTAATTAACTCTTTTAAATTCGAGAAATTTATAAAATATAAAAATTATTTAATAAACTCTGATACACAAGATACAATAATTCAAATTTACTTTTTCAAAAATTATTTTTCAAATATTTAATAATTTCTCCCACAATACTAATTAACTATAAAATTAATAATTTTTTCTTTATATAATACTTTAACCCCCATTAAAATATATATATATATATATAATATTTTAAAATCTAAATTAATTTTAAAAATTTTTTTATTATTAAATTTATTTTATTAATTTATCTTCTTACTCAAATTAATTAATTTATATTAATATCATTTCAATGTAAATGAAATACTTTACTCAAGCTCTAATTTGTTCTTTCTAGAAACACTTTCCAGTACCTCTACTTTGTTACGACTTATTTCAATTTATAAATGAAAGCGACGGGCAATATGTACATACTTTAATTTTTAATCATTTTATTAAACTAAATAAAATTACATTTAAATCCACTTTCAATTTAATTTTACAATTAAATATTCATCTTAAATAAATTTATTGTAATCCATTATATTCTTAATTATAATCTGCATCTTGATCTGATTTAATTTTAAATCTAAATTTTTAAATATTATTATTATTAAAAAATATTTTTATAACAACGATATACAAAATAAAAAATTAAGTAAATTTATTCGTGGATTATCAATTATTAAACAGATTCCTCTAAATGAACTAAAATACCGCCAAATTATTTAAGTTTCAATAAAAAATTACCTACTATTTTAGTTTTTTATATTAATTTTTTAATAATAGGGTATCTAATCCTAGTTTATAACAAAATTTATTAATTCATAATTTATATTATAAATTTTAATTAAATTAAAATTTCACCTAATAATTTAATATTTAATTTAAAATAAATATATTTATTATTAACTAAAAAAATTTATTTTAAAATTTGTTTAACCGCAACTGCTGGCACAAATTTAGTTTTTAATTTTTATATTACTAAATCTTAATTTCTTAAATTTTTAATATTAATTACTATAAATAAATAATTAATTATTATTAAAATAATTAAAAATTAACACTAAAATTTATATGTAAAATAAATTTAAAATAAATTTTTAAACTATAAAAATTTTTATTATTATAAGTAATTAATTTTACATAGATTTTTATAATATTATTTAATTTTTTTTTTTTTTTTTATATATATATTATTTAAAATATATATATATTATTTATATATATATATATATTTAATATAATATTTTATTATTTATTAAATTTAAATTAAAATATTTAATATAAATTATTAAATATTTAATAATTTCTTTTTCTTTTTTTTTTATTATTTATTTAAAAATTAATTTCATTATTCATCGATATATATTCATTGAAATAATAAATTAATTATTAATATAATATATATATAAAAAAAAATTAATTTATTATTAATTTTATTATTTATTAAATATTTATATATATATATATATATTTATAATTAAATATTTATACAAATATAATTTAATAAATGTATTTTTTTTTAAAAATTATAATAAAATATAGATTAAATATAAATTTCATTAATTTATTAATTTTTTAAACCATTTCTAATATTTATTATTATAATAATTAAATTAAAAATAAGCTAAGTTTAAGCTTTTGGGTTCATACCCCAAATATAAAGATTATCCTTTTTTTTAAAAAATAAAGTGCCTGATTAAAGGATTATTCTGATAGGATAAATTAAGTAAATTATTTTACCTTTATTATATTTTATAGAATTAAACTATATCTAATAATATCAAAAATTACTGTGCTTCTTACACTAAAATATAATTAAATAACTGATTAAACTAAAATTTAATAATAATTAATTTTATATTTAATATTTTTATTTCAATTAATTCAAATAAAATATTTTTTTTTTTTATTTTAATTTTTAGAACCTTAATTTCAATTTCCTCAAACTCATGATTAGGATGTTGAATTGGATTAGAAATTAATTTATTAAGATTTATTCCTTTAATTTCTAATTCAACTAACTTGTTATCCTCAGAAGCTTCACTAAAATATTTTTTAACTCAATCGATTGCATCAATTAATTTTATCTTCTCAATTTTACTGAAAATAATATTATTAAAAAATTTTGAAATTAATAATTTTATTTCTATTATAATTAATTCTTCTCTTTTAATAAAAATAGGCTCAGTCCCATTCCATTTTTGATTCCCAAACATTTCTGAAGGATTATCTTGATTTAATAATTTTTTATTAATAACATGACAAAAAATTACCCCCATAATTTTATTATCTTATTATATTAATAAAAATTTTATTATTATCATTATAATTTTAAATACAATTGTTGGAGCTATTGGAGGATTAAACCAAACTTCCCTTCGTAAACTTTTAACTTTTTCATCTATTAATAATTTAGGGTGAATATTAGCTTCAATTTTAATTAGAGAAAATTTATGAATATTTTATTTAATAATATATTCATTTTTAATTAGAATTATATGTTTCCTATTCCAATTTTTAAATATATTTTTTATTAATCAATTATTTAATATCAATATTAATTACTCAATTAAAATATTATTTATAATTAATTTACTCTCATTAGGTGGATTGCCCCCTTTTATTGGATTTTTCCCAAAATGAATCTTAATTAATTTTCTAACAAATTTAAAATTATATATTATTACATTTATTTTTATTATAATAAGATTAATTATACTTTTTTATTATATCCGAATTATTTACTCTTCTTTTTTATTTAATTACACTAATCTTAAATGAATAAAATTTTTTTTTAAAAATAAAAATTTAATTATTATTAATTTTCTTTCTTTCTTATCAATTTGAGGAATAATTTTTAGAACTTTAATCTTTTTATAAAAGGTTTTAAGTTAAATATAAACTAATAGTCTTCAAAATTATTTATAAAGAAATTTCTTTAAGCCTTAATAATTTTATTATACCATGAAATTTGCAATTTCATATCATTAATTTGACTATAAAACTTATTATAATAAAAGAGAAATTTCTCGTTAATAAATTTACAATTTACCGCTTATAACCTCAGCCATTTTATTATTTTTGCGAAAATGACTTTTTTCTACAAATCATAAAGATATTGGAACTTTATATTTTATTTTTGGTATTTGATCAGGAATAGTTGGAACTTCATTAAGATTATTAATTCGAGCTGAATTAGGAAATCCTGGATCTTTAATTGGAGATGATCAAATTTATAATACTATTGTAACAGGTCATGCATTTATTATAATTTTTTTTATAGTCATACCAATTATAATTGGAGGTTTCGGAAATTGATTAGTACCTTTAATATTAGGAGCTCCAGATATAGCTTTTCCACGTCTTAATAATATAAGATTTTGATTATTACCCCCTTCACTTACTCTTTTAATTTTTAGAAGAATTGTAGAAAATGGAGCAGGAACGGGATGAACAGTTTACCCCCCTTTATCTTCTAATATTGCCCATAGAGGAAGATCAGTAGATTTAGCTATTTTCTCCCTCCATTTAGCAGGAATTTCTTCTATTTTAGGAGCAGTTAATTTTATTACTACAATAATTAATATAAAATTAAATGGATTATCTTTTGATCAAATACCACTATTTATTTGATCTGTAAGAATTACAGCTCTTCTTCTTTTACTATCCCTTCCAGTTTTAGCAGGAGCTATTACTATACTCCTAACAGATCGTAATTTAAATACCTCCTTTTTTGATCCCGCTGGGGGAGGAGATCCTATTCTTTATCAACATCTATTCTGATTTTTTGGACATCCAGAAGTTTATATTTTAATTTTACCGGGATTTGGTATAATTTCCCATATTATTTCTCAAGAAAGTGGTAAAAAAGAAACTTTTGGATGTTTAGGAATAATTTACGCAATATTAGCTATTGGTTTATTAGGATTTGTAGTTTGAGCTCATCACATATTCACTGTAGGAATAGATATTGATACTCGAGCCTACTTCACTTCAGCAACTATAATTATTGCTGTACCTACAGGAATTAAAATTTTTAGTTGATTAACCACACTCCATGGAACACAAATTAATTATAGTCCATCTATATTATGAAGATTAGGATTTGTCTTCTTATTCACAGTTGGAGGATTAACAGGAGTTATTTTAGCTAATTCATCAATTGATGTAAGATTACATGATACTTACTATGTTGTAGCTCATTTTCACTATGTTTTATCTATAGGAGCTGTATTTGCAATTATAGCAGGATTTATTCATTGATATCCCCTATTCACTGGACTATCTATAAATCCTCTATTGTTAAAAATTCAATTTTTTATTATATTTATTGGAGTTAATTTAACCTTTTTTCCACAACACTTCTTAGGTCTTGCAGGAATACCTCGACGATATTCTGATTATCCTGATGCTTATATTTCTTGAAATATTATTTCAACTTTAGGATCTTACATTTCTCTTTTAGCTTTACTAATTTTAATTATTATCATCTGAGAATCTATAATCAATCAACGAACAGTATTATTCCCCTTAAATCTATCTTCTTCAATCGAATGATATCAAAACCTACCTCCAGCTGAACATTCTTATAATGAACTTCCTATTTTAACAAACTTCT